GTGCTCATAGTTTCAAACGCCGAAGGGCTATCCACTATACCACTTGGGCCACGAGAACTACCTCTTTTCCAAAGGGTCGTATTAATTTTAATTGAATTTTAAACTTTACCGTCGACTGATTGGACCGAAGTGCTCGGTCTCAGGTTGACACTGGGTTAGAGTCTCAGTGGGGACATCGTCACTCACTGAGAAACGCAGGTACATCCAGATAACTGACGAATCCCAAATAGGACGAAATGCGCATCCTCGTGGATTCCACTGCTAGTCACCATCCACCAATTATATACTTTTACTTACTTTACTTCGGCTATCTCCTACGGGAGGATGAGCCGGCTTCATGAACGAGTTCATGAAGTTTCTTGGGAATTTGGTACGAGTGATGTCCCCCAATTATATCCTAATTAAATGCCCAGGCATCGTCGAAGCATCTGCCTAATAAGTCGACATGTCAACCTGACACTGAGCACTTCGGTCTAATCAATCGACGGGGAAATCTCAAATTCAATTAAAATATTAAAGTGTATTTTCAAGTGTTACATTTTAACGATCTGATTAGTTTCAAGGCGAAGGTCGCGCCAAATCACGAATTGTCAGAAGTTAGAATTCATGGACTGGCTATTGAGGAGTCAGGTCCCAGTGGCTGAATGGTATACGAGCTTGTCTTGTAAGTGGTACTTCCTGGGTTCGAACCCTGGTGGTGGGTACGTGCTGCCGATGATTCCAAAACTAAGATGAAACAACTGTCTGGCAGTACTCTAGTGCTGGTTCTCTAACTGATATCAATCCGTGATCAACTCGTAAAGTATTATAGCCAAAGTTAAGGTCCTTGAAAAGTTTACCTTCAAGTACCTACTAGATACAGGAAATGTTAGGAAATGTCATTCCAAATCAAATTACGCCTGCTTTTTGGACTTGGAGAGGGTAGATACAGTATTCTACTTATTTATTGGGTACTTGTCTGCAAATCTGTAGTATTAGGTAGGTTCATGAAGTTTAAAATTAAGTTTTAAGGTGTAGGGTTAAAGTTAGGGTTGAGAGTTAGGATTATGTTTTGTTTGATTGGTTGGAGGATTTCATCGTGAGCTGATATCAGTTAGAGGACCATTGGAAAACCAACGAGGAGTACTGCCAGACAGCTGTTTCGTCCCGCTAGTTTGGGACTCCTCGGCAGAAGTGGAAGTAAAGGCTTCTCGGGAGTCTTGGAGCCAGCCAGAAATGATGACGAGGAACAGAGGTAGTCGAAATGTATTGCTGAAGACCTATGTTCCACTCGAAATGCGAGGAATGAATAATAATCGTGTTATAAACTTTAGTTTAAAAAATATGTATATCTTCGAATGAATGGAACATTTAGTTTCTGCTTCACACTTGCTTGTATGTGTGCACTCATGTATATTCTGCACGTTGAGATTTTCTTGTAATGACTGCAATTTGTATATTATAAACTGACTATCTGTGAGTCGGTGGCTCAATGTTAGAATACTTGTCAATCACGTATGTCGTCCAGGTTCCATTCCTGGCAGACACATTCCTAAACGTTACCTAGTTTACTACCTGACAGTAATCCTGAAAAAAGGCAGAGATGGAGAGTGACTGACAACAGGAGGAAGTGACTAACATCCCCGTGAGAAATCGTGAACAATCAGATCCAGCAAGTTGGACATGAGGACAAATACCCACCGATTACACTGGTTGGCGGTTGCGCAAATCGGTAGGAGTTGTAATTGATGTGCCAGTCATTAGATTTCTTCTCAGTGGTTTTGATGGTCAAAGGGCTGACCTCGTAACCTGGAAGTGTTGGATCCAATTCTCGGTGGGGTCCCAGGTGCCTACTTCTGATGAGTCCCGAAATGGGACACAATAGCTTCTTCATTAGCTCCTCTTTAAGTTATGTTAGTTCGTGATCAAATTTAAAATATTACGCGTGGTACTTTGAGATTGTTTGGGTTCAAAAAAGGTTTCTTTTCATGAACTAAAAGTTGGGAGAATAAAACAGATACACTTACTGTAAATTTAAATTTCACTATTTTATTCACTTTGGTTGTTGTTGGCGTCGATGGCACAGTGGTTAGGACTCTTGCCGACCATGCACATGGTCGGAGGTTCGATCTCCTGCCGACGCACACCTGATATCTATGGTCGGCCTGCGAAATTTGGGCTACCGATATCACATGCTAAAAATTCCATACTTGTACCAAAAATATGATGTGGAATCAAGGGGTAATCAAAAATTAAAAAAAATTTAAAAATTCAAGTATTGGTTTTGTAGCTCATGACGAAATCCTCCATGCAATCAAAAAATAAATCCCTACAAAACCAACACCTGAAAATTAATCTGATGCTCACTAGTGACTGGCCCTATTCAGGCAGTTAACCTGGGGTTCTAGTGGAAACCGTGACCAGTAGGGAACAGCAGGTTGAAGATGAGCCAGTAACTCATCGAAAAAGACATTGCGAAACGGTCGCGCTATGTCATAAATTGGCAGAAGTTAGAATTCAAGGACCATTGGATTGGGTCCCAGTGGCTCAATGGTCTACGGGCTCGCTAGCCTTGTAACGAGAAGGTCGTTGGTTTGAACCCCAGCAGGGTGGGTGCGTCCTGATGAAGAGTCTCAAACTAGGAAGAAAGAGCTGTTCAGTACTTCCAGGCTTTCTAGTGGTCCTCTAACTGATGTCAGCTCATGAAGAAATCCTCCATGTTGTTGAATCCTTAAGGAAGACAACTATTCAAAACGATGTCCAAAATTCTTTTACTACTTCATATTGTAACAACAGAAGACAAGGGACAGGCAACAGATCGTTTATTAAGGAAATCAGAACGTATTTATATATTTTCATGTACATTATTATAGCTTATTCAAGCAAACAAACACACTCTTCTGATTGGTTGTTTCTCACAGAAAGTTGACCTTGCATCTCTTTGTGACTGTTTCTTGAATGTCAGGTCATCTATATGTTAACTGTATCTGCCTACGCAAAGTCTTCTGTGATTGGTTGTTGAATCAGTCTTGTTCATATTTTCTCGCGACCAATATTTGCGACATAAACATTAACGTAAATAATTGTCTACCAATTTGGCTAGCAGCCTGCTCTCACTACAATATATTCATAGTAATAATTTATAAACATGGAATGCGAGACTTCCATTGTGTGGTTGCAAGGTTAGTTAGCTAGATGAGTTACAATTTAATCACCAGTTTGCACATTCAGTCCTTCGCTTCAGGGGTTATTGGTGGCCAAAATATCATCATAGTAATAAAGTCTTAAAGACTTCTCAGTCAGAGTGACCCAGGTTGGAACCACGTAGAGAATATAGGTCGGCAGATATTACATTTGACTGCCAACAAGTATCATAAATAGGCATGTATCGCCAATACCAAGTCACATCACTATCCTCGTAGAACATTGTTTACTTACAAAGAAGTGGGTTAGTAAGCAGTTGGGTTTGATCAGCCTAATACATGGAAGCAATCCGTAGTGTCTCTGACTATTGGTATAAGCCAACCACTTAGGAAGGTATGAATTGCCTGATTCAGGTTGTTGTCCAAGGTATTAGGGAATCGATTGGCTGGGGATTTCCTGTGATATGATGACTGAAACTCTTTTCCAGTGATGTAGATGCATTCACTCTTTATAAACTTCTAGATTCATCTAATTGTGATTACTCTCCACGTATCTATTCTTTCTCATGCGAATTTCCCTTTATTATAGTTTCTCTGAATATCCTTTTTTTTACTTAAGTGTGTTATATGGTGTGCGTCTATGGCACAGTGATTAGGACTCTAGCCGACCCATGTACATGGTCCGGGGTTCGATCTTTTGCCGGCACACACTTGTTATTAATGGTCGGCCTGCAAAATTTGAGCTACGGATATCACATACTGAAAATTCCATACTTCTATCAAAAATACTGTGTGGTTTCAAGTTATAATCAAAAAATAAATTAGTGAACTTTTGTACAAAGTTCTACAAAGCTAAAGGACCATTGAAAACCAGCACTGGTGTACTGGACAGCTGTTTCATCCTAGTTTGGGAATCATCGGCAGTACGCCAAATGGATGGAGTTTCCTGGAGTTCTAGTGAGAAGTCGTGACCAATGAGGATGGATGTCCTACCGACGACATTGGTTGGTGGTCGCGCTAATTCACGAATTGGTAGAAGTTAGAATTCATGGACTGGCCATTGAGGAGTCGGGTTCCAGTAGCTGAATGCTCTACGAGCTTGCCTTGTAACCAGAAGGTCCTGAGTTCGAACCCTGGTGGTCGGTGCGTACTGCTGATGATTCTCAAACTAGGATGAAACAGCAGCTGTCCAGTACTCCCTGTGACCGGTTTTCAATGGTTCTCCAACTGATATCAATCTGTGACCAACTCGTAAAAACAAAACTAACGCTTACAAACCAAACTATAAAAAACAAAGTTCTACGTTGAATTCTTGTTGAATCAAGAAAAGAGGTTGTTACTGAATGGCTGACTCCTAACATCAACTTACATATTTATTCAAGTATTGGTTTGTGGGTATTTGATTTTGATTAGTTACAGAATTACACCATGAGCTGACATCTCTTAGAGAACCATTGTAAAACCTTCAGGGAGTACTGCCAGACAGCATAGTTTGGGACTGACTCTTCATCAGTACGAACCCACCGGTTGGGGTTCGAACCCAGTACCTCCTAGTTACAAGGCTAGCGAGCTCGTAGACCATTCAGCAGCCACTGGGACCCTATCCAACTACTGTCTACGAGATCCTGGAGTTCGAGCCGCGGTGGGGGCGTGTTGCTGAGGAGTCCCAAACTAGTACGAAACAGCTTTCACGCGTTCCTCGTCGTTTTTCCAATGGTTCTCTAACCGACATCAGCCTTGTATCTGTTGAGTGGCGTTTTTAACTTCATATATTCTTTTACTCTTTTCTTTTTGAAGGGTAAAAAACTGTTTATCTTCGCTTTTATTTTACCTATTCTGGTCATTTACTTTCAAAGAAAGCTTTCACAAAATGTGAATATGAAAACGTTGGAAACATTTGTAAAGACGATAGCTCAAATGATTTTTAAACCCGAAGAAGCTTCAATATCTATGAAGTCAATGAACACACATGATGTTAAACAGCCCAACTGTCTTAAATGGCCATTAAAAGTAGAAGATTTAAAACAATCCAAACATTTATGTTTATTTGGATATGTATTTGATGTTTCAAATGATCAGAAATTTAGTGGTATGGATGGAATATACACAAATCTGACTGGTAAGTATACCGCTTTACAGTAAGTAGTTGGTTCAGTGTTAGCCTGTTTTATTGTTTCTGACTGACAGCTGTTAACTTAATGTGGTGGTCGTGGGGCTCGAACATCGCAATGACTCACCAAGCTACACTGGTTGGAACCAATTTTCGTGCATGTCTTATCATGACTGAAAGATCGTTTAGACAGGGGTTAGACCAAAATCAATTACTGTCATGGTGCAAGTCGCTAACACGGTGTTCGGGGTATGTCTGTCTGTCTGTTTTCAATATAGAACTTTGCACAGATGTGCGGAAGTTCAAGTCGCCACAATCCCTCCATGTAGCACACAAAGCAACAGAAGAAAGTACAAGAAAAGCATAATAGAAACAGTGAGCAGAGATGTGAGACAAAGGAGTAATGACGAAGAACAAAACAGTTTCATAGGGGATCATAAGTCACAAAGAGTGGATGCATCTTCGCTAGCCACTGAGAAAGATTTTGAGCCATGTCACCAATTGTTTCCAACCATAGATTTTTACCGTCCCGAGGACCCCAACTAGGAAGTCTACACCTTCCTACATGGCCAGCTTAAACTAACTGTTGTGGATTTCATTGACTGGCGCCATGTTTTGGTTTGACCATCACTTAATAGCTCTTTTCTAGCCTGACCCTATACCAGCCAGCATTTCCTGTTGTCGAGGAAGGCTATGACTAGGCTAGGCATACGCAACACATGTCCTAACCATCTCAACTGATGCAGCTGCCTCACAACCTCGTCGATTGATTTCCCCTCCCACCTACCTAGCACTCGACCGATACCTAACCTCAATATCACTCACCTAATTACACCTACCACTTCACACGGGAGATAGAACGCAGGCACCTATGATCAAAGACAGCTAGCCAGCCTTTTCATGTCCTCCATTCTCAATGGCCAGGTCTCACAGCCAGTCATGATGGAGGACGAAGCGGACTGATGAGCGGTACACCCGCCCTTTGGTCGATAGTCGGATTTCACGTCTACTAAGCCAGAGACGGCGTAAGCTGGCAAATGCGAAACTAGCCCTCTGTATCCGTGCTGAGACTTCGTCAGAGATCAACCCACTGGCGTTGGCTGACGGTACTTCCCAAGTAAGTGAAGCGGTCAACGTGCTGTACCACTTCACTCCCTATTTCTAATCCAGGAGTCGGTGTAGTCCAGTCCTGTAACACCATCTTGCATTTGACGGGAGATCGTTTAGACAGGGGTTAGACTAAAAGCAACTGCACTCAGTTCCCAGTGGAATATAGGGTGGCTTCAAGCTGGGGACTTGTGGTTTCGGTAGCATGGGTGTATATGCTTACTGTATGAAAAAGCTAGTCTCATGCATAACCCTTTCTGTTTACCAGTTTTATTACTAGTTTAGCGAAATAAAAGATTACGTTGGTATGGGCTCGAACTCTGAACCATATGCGTGGTTGGTGAGCATTCTACCGCTGTACCACCAACGATTGGATGAAACAGATGTTCAGCTCATTTTGGTTTCCAATGTTTATTAGTTTGTGACAAAATCCACAAATCAACTTTTGTAGGGATCAATATCCGCTAAACAGTCATAATTCCTCAAATGAATTGGCTGCATTGTACCCTTCCATGTGTCATTTAGGGATTCTGTAGCCGATATCGATCGATTTGTGAGATGAAGTCAATGAATGAAAATGAATGGAAACTGATACTTAATTAAAATTGTGATCTTTATTGATGTTATCCATTTTTTCCTCCCCTCACGTTCCCAGTGGAACATAGTGTGGCTTCAAGCTACAGGCTTGAAGTTTCGGTAGCAGTGTTTATTTTTACAGGATGAGGTTGCTAGCCTCACACCCAACCTTTCCTCTTTACCAGCATTTTTCTGGTTTAGCAAGGTAAAGGAGTGCGTCGGCCGGGGATCGAACCTCGGACCATGTGCATGGTCGGCGAGCGTCCTAACCGCTTTGCCACCGACGCACCGATGTTATCCATAATAATAATAATTTATTCACAACACTCTTTTTATTATTATAATTTATTTTAAAGGTCATTGTGATATATACAAATTTGTTGGTGAATCGAAACGTTATGGTTTAGATGGGTTGACAATTGCTCAAATCTTTGATTTATCACAACAATTTCAAGAAGTTGTAAATAATTATACATGCATTAGTAAATTTCTTTTTATTTTCAAGTATTGGTTTTTTTATGGATTTCGTTTGATTGGTTGGAGCTGACATCGGTTAGGGAACCATCGGAAAACCAACGAGGAGTACTGTCATACAATTGTTTTGTACCACTAGTTTGTGACTGACTATTCATCAGTACGCACCCACCCCACTGGGTTTCAAACCTAGGATCTTCTGGCTATGAGGTTAACAAGCTTGCAGACCCTTCAGCAGCCACTGGGACCCGGCAAATCCAGTGGTCAGCCCATGAATTATAACTTCTTTCAATTCATGACATAGCACGATCAATCGGCAATGTCTGCTTCGATGTGTAACTGCCCTCAGCTTCAAACTTCTGTACCCTGTTGGTCACGGCTTCCTACTGGGACCACAGGTAACTGTCAGAATAGGGCCAGTCGCTAGTGGGCGTCGGATCAATTTCCAAGTGTTGGTTTTATAGGGCTTTCGTTTGAAAGGTTAGAGGATTTCATCATGATCTGATATCGGTTAAAGAACCATTGGGAAACCTTCAGGAAGTACTGCCAGACAGCTGTTTCGTCCTGGTTTTTTTTTACACATAAATATATGCACATATTTGCTTGTCGGATGATGATTAAAGATAATCGATAAGTTGTCCTGATTTATCTCCACTACCTAAATGTTAAACAAAGAAGTGCACTGTAATCTGTATACTAAATCGATAGGATTTATCCAGGATTTTGGACTACAGGAAGTACTATTGATCCGCATATTATAGCAGCTTGTATGCATATATATGTATAATGGCAGAATACCACAGAATTTTCAACAGCAAAATTTGTTTCATATATTTATTCCCCTTAATGAATTTGAATAAAGGAAGAACTACAGTTTTTGCAGATTAAGTGGTATCACCATTTATTTCGTCGCCTTCTCATCAGCTGCTTACAGGCCAAAGTCATTATTAAATATGTCTACAGAAACAATTTAAACATACTTGGACAGTGTTCCTTTTAAACAAAAATCAATCAATATATCTATGCAGTAATAATAATATATATGTAATATTAAACACTTCCGAATATTAATAATCATACACAGGCAAAGTTAAACTTTCGACACCACTAACAACCAATCAGCAAACGACTTTGAACGGACCAATCATATTAAATAGGCATATATGATGAATGGAAACGTATATTTATAGAAAAAAGCATAAAAAAGAGGATAAAACGGTTACAAGGGGTATCTTTCTCGAACATGTGATAGAAACATCTCCAAGTTTAGCATGGGACTGTCAATGGAGAAGTTACACCACATCGTGTGCTTATATTTATCTGAATGCCGGTAAATGAGATCCTTTTGAGATCCATTTATAGCCCTTATCCTGTTTTTCAAGCAGCCCCAAAAACCTTCAATGGAATTCGCATGAGTCCTCGTAACGGGATCCAACCAGCAAACAAGTGATTTTCCCTATTTTACACGAAGCAATATCTCTACAATGCTGGCACCACTAAACTGTTGAGACGAGACTATTCTCAGTCTCGGCAGCTGCTGCTCTCACCGGCTGTTTCAACACCCAGTAGTTGCAGATGTAGAAACTCTGGGTTAGGGAGAGATGCGACCTAGGGAAGAAAGTTCCTACGAAATATTAAAATTATCAGCTTATCCGCTCTAATGTTAGCACGCTTCAAACACATAGCACAACGATGAACAAACCCATCAGTTGATCTGCTATAGCTTTTTAAAGTCATGATGCCAACACACGAACAAGTTCACTCCTTCCGGAGCAACCCTAAATCCTGACAATACTGGAAAACACTGTACTCCTCGAATTGCAACCGTAATCTTGTAAGGTCGCGTATTAGAAAAGAATCAAGCGCTCTACAGCATTGAACTGCGTTCGTGAATCTCATTGGATAATTCGACATCGTTCGTGAATCCCATTGGATAATTCGCTGATTGGTAGTTAGTGGTGTCGAAAGTTTAACTTCGCCCATACACAATGGAAACTTTCGGCATTACGCATTCAGATGAAAGAGAGATGAAAATATCCAATTACCAGACAGGCCAAAGAAAGACTGATAACTGTTTCCTTCTGAACGCACAAATCAGGTTTCAGACCCTTGATGGAGATTGCTTCAGCAAACTTGAAGAGAATTGAACTCTTTTGCCTATTGATAATTTTGAACGATTTTGCGAAGTCCACCTCATGACCCACACGCATATCAAGGAGATGCCTGGCGATGGTACTGTTTAAAGTGTTTGTTTCCTTTAGACATAAGCTTTTTGGTACATGTTTTGGATTTGTAAAATGATGTACAGTTACGGCAAGAAGATTCAGCAGTCTCACATTGAAATCTTGACTTTTGAACATGTTCTTCATATTGTGATTTTTTTTGTCTTCCTGTAATGCCTTCTGTTATTCTATCGTTTGTTTCAAAAGGATCTTTCATTTCTTCTCTTTGAAACTTAAGAACGCGTCCCTCAGCTTTACTGTATGCTTCTGAAGACGATAGCACATACAAAACAGTCTATTATTGAGTAATAGGGGTGGGAGTGACATAATTAAATTAAATTAAATTTTTGATTACAGCTTGATTCCACACAGTATTTTTGGTACAAGTATGGAATTTTCAGCATGGATATCGGTAGCCCAAATTTTGCAGGCTAACCATAGATATCAGGTGTGCGTCGGCAGGGGATCGAACCTCGGACCATGTGCATGGTCGACGAGAGTCCTAACCACTGTGCCACCGACGCATAGTGTGCATAAAAATATACAAACATCTCTTGATTTCCTCAATAAACGATCTGTTGACTGGCCCTTGTCTTCGGTCGTTTCAATAGTCAACCGGATATCACGTTTACTAAACCAGAGATGGTGTAAGATTTGTGCCAAATGCCACGCAAGACTTCTGTGTCTATGTTCAGTTCTCATCAGGAATCAGTAGATTTGGACTGAAGGGATTACCCAAGCAGTGAAGTGGTTAACACGGTCCACCACTTCACACACCCATTTTTAAGCTACGGGTAAGTGTAATTCAGTGATGTATCATCATCTTACATTAGATAGCAATGAATTGCGTAGCAAACATTCGAGGAATGCTACTGTGGGTGTTTAGTAGACTGAATTTTGTCAGCATCTCCACCTAAGAGGACTATATCATCTACATATTCGAAGTCAACAAAATAGTTCCCCATTAACAAATGAATTCCATCAGTACATCTATGATGAAATTAATTAGAAACGAGGACAGTGAGCATTCCTAAAGGACACCACTGGTTGGCTTTTATCACTTCAGAGGACAACTCTCTGTAGGCGCTTAGCTGGCTGTGTGGATGTTCGAGCAAAATAACTCGATGAGTGCGATATACTTTCTTGACACTCCCTTAACGGCCAAAAATTGCCATAGTACCTCCTCTCACCTGGTCAAGTAATACGGAGATTGTTGGCCGCCAATAAGTATGCCTATGTTCCAGAACCTTGGACACTTATGATCAAAGACAGCTAGCCGCCTTTTCATGTCTTCTACTTTCAATGGCCATGTCTCACAGCCAGCCATAAAAGAAGGACAGAGAGGAGTACAGTACACATGTGCTTTGATCAATAGCAGGATATCACGTCTATGCCAGAGATGATGCAGGTTGGCGAATAATAATAATAATATAATTACTCAGAAGGGGCTTTAGAAGTAGAACATAAAAGTTGTAAATTACGTGCTACAACTTCTATGTTCTATTTCTAAAGCCACTTCTGAGTAATTATATCAATTATGTCATCACCTATTATTCAATAATAGACTGCTATACATTTCTGGTAAGCATAAACACGACTGTACAGCCAGTCTGTGCAGATGATTTCGTCGATAAAGAAGGATTTTCTTCGCTGAATTTGTCTTCTTTACGCCTAACCCCATATGTATCGTAATAATATTCATTAATCATTTAGCATAATAAAAGCTTTTACGTATTACTTTCTTTCTATAGGTTATGTTCCAGGAATATATCTGGATCCAATGGGTGAACCAATGGCCTATTTTCAAGAAATTATGCACATATGGGATATGATTATTAAAGAAAATGAGAAGATTTTTTCCCTATTTCCTAAATGTGAACTAAGAAGCGTGGGGGATCAGATTTATGGATACTGTAAAGATAAAAGGTAAGCTGACTCACTTTGTTTACCTACTTGAGATGAATGCAGTTCAGTAATTATGTGTAAATACATATATAAATGCCTAATAGGGATATATTTAATCCAATGGAGCTGATGCAAACTAGTCCTATAGCACATCGGATCACATATGAAAGAAACAGATAGACACCGACCGATGAAAATCTAGATAGCAATAGGTTATCGAATCTCTTGGATATCTAGAGGTTTTTTTTATTCCTTTACGTTCCCAGTGGAACATAGTGTGGCTTCAAGCTACAGACTTGAAGTTTCTGTAGCAGTGGTGTGTATTTTTACGAGATGGGGTTGCTAGCCTCATGCCCAATCTTCCCTCTTTACCATTCTTATTACTGGCTTGGTGAGGTAAATGAGTGCGTCGGTGGCTGGGGACCGAAACCCAGACCACATGAAGCGTGGTTGACGAGCATTCTGACTCTATGCCGCCGAAGCCCAAGGAAAGATATCTACAGTGAAAGTTTGATTCGAAGTTATCTGACAAGCAAGAATAACTGAAGTAGGATTAGGTGTTTGTAAACTCTGCATAGTAGTGGAATGTTTATTTGACTTTCTTGAGGTATTCAGAAGCTTTTCATTGTGAGTGAGTCAGTGATATAGCTTGAGGTTGGTGAGTACAACATTGACTCTGTAATCCTTATCATCTTTCCTTGGGTACTGGGTGGAACACGGGGCTTCAACGGGATATCTTCATCTTTTCTTTCTATTCTCTGCAGTCTCGTTTAGCTGGCTCAATGATTACTCACAAGCTCTAATTTCCTATTTTCGCGATCTTCTTCCTTTTCTTCTTGTCATTCTTGGACACACTTTCAACTTACCATTTCCAATTCGAGTTCTACTGAAAGGCCTCAACGTATCTGCAATCCATCTTTACTTCCTTATGCGTAATTGTTGGGCGTTAAGATCTTGGTTGGTTCATCGACGAAAATCCTTGTTTTCAAGTATTTGTTTTGTAGGGGGGTTTGTTTGATTGGTTGGAGGGTTTCATCATGAGCTGACATCAATTAGAGAACAATTGAAAAACTAACGAGGAATACTGCTAGACAGCTGTTTCGTCAGCCTAGTTTAGGACTCACCGCCGGGGTTCCAACTCACGACCTTCTGATTACAAGGCTAGTGAGATTGTAGACCAATAAGCCACTGGGATCCGCCCTATCCATGGCTAACCGATGGATTCTAACTTCTACCGATTCATGACATAGCGCGACCACTTCGCAATGTCTTCTTCGGTGAGATACTGACTCACCTGATGTCAGTTCATGATGAAATCCTTCAACCAATAAAACAAAATCTCAACAAACCAACACTTGAAAATTGATCTGATACTCACTAGCCGTATTCAGGCAGTTACCTGGAGTTCTAGTAGGAAGCCGTGACCAGTAGGGTGAAGCAGTAACTCATCGAAGAAGACATTGCGAAGTGGTGGCGCTATGTCATAAATTGACAGAGGTTAGAATTCATCGACTAGCCACTGGATAGGGCAGATCCCAGTGGCTGAATGGTCTACGAGCTCACTAGCCTTGTAACCAGAAGGTTGTGGGTTGGAACGCCGGCCGTGGGTGCGTACCAACGAAGAGTCCCAAACGAGGCTGACGAAACATCTGGCTATCCAGTACCCCCTGTTGGTTTTCCAATGGTTCTCTAATTGATTCAGCTCATGATGAAATCCTCCAACCAAAGAAATCCTTGTTGCTTATCTGATTTGATCGATGAGCTAATCTTCAATATGGAGACAAAGAAGGTAGCTATTGAGGAAGGTGGGTAGCAGTCTGTCGGAAGTGCTCTTGGCGGCACGCACCGATAGTTTCTGAATTATATAGAAGCATTGTAAAATTTTAACTGACCTAATTTATCTTTAATCTACCTTCTCATATCTACTTTTGTTTTTTGTAATTGTATCGACATTTCTGTTTACTTCCTTTTTGTGTATTTAAAATAGTTGAAGTATCAACTAAGCCTCATGATCCCATGTAGATAATTTTCTTGTAAAGGTGGGACTTTTTATAAGATTACTAAAATTATATTACCTATAGGGCTGTTCATATTGTTGGTATATTTCTCGTGTGTATGTGAAGGTTTCCACGTGTGTATTTACTTCAATAAAAGTTCTCTTTCTCACATGACGACTTCTTCTTTTCTACTTCCTTTATTGTCGACATTAAGAAAAAAGTTGTTTTTGGTTCAAACATGTACATTCATATTAGGCAGAGATGTGTATTATAATTGGTGTTTCATCTAGGTTCCCAATGGAACATAGAGCTTCAGTAACACACCTCCATTTTACTCGGTTCTCTGTAATCCACTTAGATGGTTCTACTGTGATGAGAGCTGTCTACTAGGCAAAGTTGTAGACAACAATTTACGTCAATGTTTAAGTCCCGAATCGGGATCATGAGAAAAAAACTATAATAAAGCCTAACCTTGAGGAAGTCACCATCCAATCACAGCAAACTTAGCGTGTGAAAATGCGATTCATCGATATATGGCTTAACTTTCTAAGAAATGGTGACAAGTAGTACAGAATAACCTTGGGCAAGAAAACAACCAATCAGAAGACATTGCTTCTCTGCTAACAATAACACTAATAATAATGAACATAAAAATCTATAAATATCTCTTGATTTTCTCAATAAACGATCCTGTTGCCTGGCCTTTGTCTTTTGCCGTAACACTACGATTCTGCATTAGCTTGTTTAGGTTCCACTTTAGGGACTGGTGCATGATATCTCTCAACTGTCGTTTGGTTCGTCGCCAGAGTGTTTGTCACTAATCCTTCATGGTCATCTGATGTTCACTGTGTATATCCATTACAAATATTAAGTAGTCATTGGCTTGTGGTTCATTGAACTTCCCCGTGACGCGTTACAGTTTTAGCCAGCTAAATTGGATGACCTAAATCTACACAGTTTCATTCCCTGTGTCAGTGTGGGAAACATTCAGCAATAAGCCAAAATTTTAATGCATCAATAATAATGCTAACGATAGTAACTAGGGCTCATGCTTCTTTCCTTTATTGATATGTTGGCTTAATGTAGTATGAGTGATAGTGTTCCCAATGTAAATGAAACACATCAGCTATCATTTAAAAGGCCAAAGCGTTTTTCTGCAAGGCTACTAAGCGGCAAGAGAGACAGTACGTTAACTCGAAGGTATCATTTGAACATTTGTACTTAGAGCCGAAATGTTGACAATGACTGAGTGTACTTTGTGACTTGATGCATCACTGGCTACAGTAGAGTTTCGTCAACATCTGCCTTCACTCCATACTGAAGATAAAGTGGACAGAAAAGATAAGCAACAAGAAACTCTGGTTGGGTGACGGAGCAGCTAAGAACCTATTTCTCTGAGAAATTCGCAGAAGAAAATGCAGATGGATTGGATATCGACTGGAAAGACTGTTGAGGGACATCGCACGCTAAGCGTTCAATTTGTACCTGTATAAGAAACGACGAGTTGTACGTTACTTCAGATGTGGTGTGAGATGAAGGAGATTTTATGCGGAGGAAATGAAATCCTATGAGAAATCATGCAGCCGGCTAAAGCAAACTGCAGACGAGAGGCTGACATGGAGATGTGCTGATGAAGTCATGTGTTTCATTCTTAACCCAAGGGAATAATAGTGATAGTATAATAATAGTAATAATAATAATAATGGTCAGTGAAAGGGGTAACTCACAATTATTTAAGGAAATAATTCAATGGCTTCTCCCTTATGTTGAGTGACTTGAATTCAGATGGGAAAGCCAGGTTAGGAAGATAATTCGGTGACATTGGCGACTGTGAGCATCCACTTTACCCAGAGTTTTCACCCTTTATCGCCTTAGGTAAAACAGGAAGTCATTTCAAAAGACTTTATACACGCACGTGTAAGTATAAAAATTCCGCGATACCATATTTAACACGTATTTTGTGTGATGAAAATTGTCATGCACGAAGTAATCAACTAATCTTCTTTCACTAATAAATACACCATTTTCACCATCCTTATTCCAACAAGCTTTATTGTTATTGTTCTTCTTATATTTATGATCCTCTCAATTTTTCTTGACTAAGTGTAAATATCATTCAAGCTGTGTAATATCTGTTTTTCCCCTCACCATCTTATATCAAGAGGACATTGAATTCAATAATTTATAACATGCAAAAATTTCCAAACTGTATCTACAGTGCTGTTTGAAACTAAACCCTTTTTATTATTATTATCGTAGTTATTATTCTCATTTTGTACTCTGTACATTGTTGAATTTATTCCCACCGTAAACGTAGACAAATTCCTGTGGTTAATTTAATTTGTTTATTTTGAGTAAATTAGGTGCAATATTGTGACGAATTATCACCGATGATATTCAAAATTGTGGTGGACTAGATTATATGTCAGACAGTGGGAAACGAGAAGACAGGGATATCCAGAACCGATGTGAATAACCTAGAAGACCTGGATTTTGCGCGTGGATGATTTATGTTTGATGTCACACAAAATCGAAGACTTACAAGCGAAAACCGACAAACTGGTCGAAGAAGCAGACAGTGAAGACAGAACTCCAAGTGAACATGGACAAGACGGAGGTTATGAGAATAACCAACCAACCAACAACAACAACAGCAGCAACATGCAGCGCCAATCACCATCAACAGGAGGGAGGGATTTGAAAGAGGTTACTTCATTCACTCACTTATCTAGAATTAAGCATTGTCTCAACTACAGGAAGTCGGAACGGACGAGTATGTCGAGAGAATCAAGCGAGAATCGAGAAGGCGAGCGAGAAACACATACCTCATCAACCTGAACAAACCAATCTGGAAAACCAATCTTCGTCACTCAGCCAGCATCAACAACAAAATTCGGTCGGATTTTCAATACAAACGTGGTCAAGTCAGTCAGTTCTTCTATACGGGTAAGAAACTTGGCGGGCGGGTCACAAAGAATATTTACAACAGCCTGTTGCGTTGCGGACTATCATCAACCAGCAACTATCTTCGCTGGCTCTATACTGAAGATCAGATGGCCGGGCTGGAAAGAATCAGTAACAAGAAACTATGGGAACCAACAAACAAAACAAGAACAAACCAGTCGCCCAACAAATATGCAGGAGAAAGTGTAGATGGATGGATTGGACACTCACTCGCTGAGGAGGCGGCTGGGTGACATTGTGCGCGCGTGAGGCCATTGCTCGAGTGGAACCAGGCCGAAAGGGAACCACGCGGCGAGTGGGACGTCAGTGCAAGGGTGGCATGCAGGAGATCGTGTGGAGAGGAGTTGAAAGAGTGTGGACTAACATGGATGCAGGTGAAAAGTACAGCAGAAGACAGAAGTGGCAAGTGGAGACGTGCAGGTGAAGCCCTGTGTTCCACTAGGAACTCAAGGGAACAATAACAAAAATAATAATTGTGACGAATTGTGGGAATTCCATTCTGTTATAAGTACTGTTATTTTAGAATAAAGCAGATTATTATTATTTAAAATGACTGCCTACTAGTCACACTTAGCACGTATAGGAGAAAGCTTCTAAGTTATAACAAACCCGACTATTAATCTGGAAGCTGCCATGTTCAAATCTTCATATAACAGCCACAAATAAAGTGGCCAAATGAAGAGTTGGGTGTGAATGTAGATTTTCGCCGATGATTACTGAGTAGTGGTCGCGCTATATTTAACGAATTGGAAGTTGTTAGAAATCATGAGTAGGTCATTGGATTCCGTCCCAGTATCTGAATGGTCAAAGAGCTCACCCTGTAACATAAAGGTCCTTGATTCATGGATGAGTGCGTACTGTTGAGAAATTCCAAACATGGAGGAAATAGTACTCAAGTACTTCTTGATTGCTTTCAGTGATTCTGTAAATGAATTCAATCGATGATCGATCTTTGAGGCAAAAGTGTTCTATCCGCTTGAATGAATACTTTGATTAGACACTAGTAACTAGTGTTATGCGTCTAGTTCTTTCTTTTGTGTAGACTGAATTCTATCAGTCAGGTTTGTAATGTGGCCACCATTCTAGGTAGCTCGCCGTCACAGTGCACATTGATTTGTTGAGATTAGATGGTTGGAGGCAATCGGTCACAGGAAGCCTTGAACCTGACTCATAGAATTCAGTCTGCCACCAAAGAAAGGACTAGACGCATCAGACTAGTTTCTGACTAGTCTCCAATCAAAATATCCACTACAGTCCTACAGGAGGCCAATCGCCAGTGAGCCTGAATAGCTGGCTCAATGGTAACGTCTCCGCCTGACTGCAGTGCTGGTTGACACGGGTTTAAATTTAAGGAGAAGGGACATGATTTCCTTCAAAGTGATTGCAGATACGCCTTCGTGACTGGTGAGCGCCAGTTAGCACGAAACCTAGGTGGTCGAAGGTTTCCTGTGGCCGACCTGTGCCTCCAACAATCTAATATCATCAAATGAATGAATTCTTTTAAAATGTATTGCTAATATAAACATTATTTCTCTCTTTTATGTGTATTTTTTAGATCTAGTAATCCCTTAGAGTTTACAACTCCAAAACAGTTAAATCATCCAAATTTCTTGAAACCACCATGTGTTTGTGTAACCCACAGAAGGAGTGATCATTTAAAATCACTTTTCAACTTTCAAGATTATCATGACTGTCAATCGAAGAATGAGTGTTTGCTGAATCCAATTTAGCATATATTGAGTGATGTACAACAGGCAGTTGAACACTTTTGCCTTAATTGTTTGTTTGTCTGCTTTTGTGAGTAATTGCCGCCTATTTTGCTTAGTAGACAAACTTTTTATACTTTTTGATATTCTGTGTTTGTTTGTGTATGTGTGTGATTGAAATGCGATTTTGTAAATACATGTGAATATTTTGCTATACAGCTATTTCTTTTAACAAACTTGAACCGAGGGAGAATAGCACGTTTAGCAGGGAAAAATGATGTCATTATAATAATGGAGGAGATCTGTAGCTCAGACGGATGATATTGATTTAGTTGTGTTCTCTGAGCAGCTGGTTACTTTAGTTAAGAAGCTTTCGTTGTCCTCTTTCTAGACATCATCTTCAGTGCACGTTTTAGTATGAAATGAACTGATTTAAATTCTTCAGGAATGATATAATTGTATCTCCTGACAACCATTGTCGTGATTGGTTGTTAATTTATCTCTCTGTTGATCATTTTTACTGACTTGGAATTAGAACTTTCTTGTTGTATGATTTATCTTTTATCAGTTGGTATATTTGGTCTACAGTAATGTGTTTGTTGATTGCTGATTTACTTGAGTACCAGGCTGCTAGAAGTTCACTAGTAGTATTTTTGGTGTTTCCTCTGTTTAGGATTTCTGAATTATCCCAATCAAACTGATTTCCGTAATTATTTATATACGTCAATATGAGATAATACATATTGTGTCTTTCCACAACTGATATATGTTCTTGGATTCGTATTCGAAGGGAAGGCCCATTTGACAGATGTAATGTTTATTGCAGTTCATGCAATTTGTCTTGTAAAAATGGTGCTGATCGTCTTTTTCTGTCGGATCTTTCGCTCTGCACAATATCGAATGAAATGATTGTGTTGGTTGGCTTGTGTGCTATGTCTATTTCAAATAGTCTTAGTATTCTAGCCGTTAGGTGTTTTAAAGGTATTCTTTATATATGGTAGAGTGAATTTTCTTGTGGTCTTTGATGATGGTTTCTTGTTGGTATTATGATTTGAGTGTAGACATTTTTCTGTAACTATGAACGAATATTGTAAATTAAATAAATCAATAGTACAGTTACATATATGTCAAATTATTTAGTTGAACACCGATCAAAAAGGAAACCTGTCAAGAATATGCATAAAAACAAAATCAGAGTAGTACATTGTCAAAACAAAATATCTTTTCAAGTATTGGTGTGTAGGGATTTTGTTTGACTGGTTGGAGAATTTCTTCATGAGCTGATATCGGTTGGAAAACCAACTGGGAGTACTGCGAGACAGCTGTTTCATCTCACAAGTTCGCGATTTTACAACAGTACACACCCACCGCCAGGGTTAGAACCTTTGACATTCTGGTTACAAAGTCAGCGAGGTCGTAGACTATTAAGCCAACCGGTTCCCATCCAATGGCCCATGAATTCTACCTCCTGGCAATTCATGACATGGTGCGGCCACCTCGTAATGCCTTCTTCAATCAGTAACTAACCTCACCTTCGACCTGATGTAAACTACTGGTCATGGCTATCCACTAGAACTCTAGTTAACTACCTATCTGAATATGACCAGTCGTTAGTGAACATCGGATCAATTTTCAAGTATTGGTTGTTTTGTCGGGATTTTGTTTGATTGGTTGGAGGATTTCGCGCTATATCGTGAATTGGCAGAAGTTAGAATTCAAAGGCTTGCTATCGGATAGGGCGGGTCCAAGTGGCTGCTGAATGGTCTGCGAGCTCACTAGTCTTGTAAACAGAAGGTCAAGGGTTCTATTTCTGGCGGTGGGTGCGTACTGATGAAGATTCTCGAACTAGCGGGATGAAACGGGTGTCCATTGCTTCCAGGTGGCTTTCCAATGGTCCTATAGCTGATGTCAGCTCATAACAAAGTCATCTAACCAATGAAACAAACTATAATCAACACAACTAGGTTAACAGAAAGAAAAATTAAACAGTGTAAAGTATGTTTACGAAGGTAAGGGAAGATAAACTACAGTCTCCTTCTGCATGCACAATTCTGGTTTTAAACATTTGACCCTAATCACTTCAGTGAAGTGCAGAAGCCTAGAGCTGTCTTGAACTCTGATTATCTTAAGGAATTTTAATAGAATAATTTCATGACCACTACTGAACAAGTAGCTGAACATTTTCTATACTGATGTTAAATTGTCTATGGAAATATGTCACTGACAAGAACCAACGGAATGTAATGAAATCATTTTATCCTACTGTTATGTACTGCTCGTCTAGTAGTTAATAGTCCTGACGCGGAAAGAGCGAAATCAGAAGACCACTAGGTTTACAATGATACTTGTATTTTCAAGACAAGAAAAATAAATGTCACACTAGTGTGTGAGTGAATAAGTACGAAATGTACGGCAAAGTATGAACAAGAATCCAGTACAAAAGTATATATGAAAGTGACTAATACACATGAACCAATAGGTAGATAGTCTTAACATGATTGGTTGTAATGTCATGTGACAACAAGGTCATGCATATTTATTTAGTTAGTGGACAGACAAAAGCATATTGTCAGTTATAATGGAATATCGATCCATATGCACACAGCAAAATATAATAGACTGTCAAAAACAAACACACACACATCATGTGGATACATATCACCTAATCAATAAGTTATTTTCACATTACTCAAATATGGACTATTTTATTTTAGTAACTGCTATTCTTATCTTAGACTGATAAGAACCAGCATTTCTCACGTATATTGTGATTTATTGTGTTTTCAGTCATTTCTTACAGCTGTGAGCCAATTTTATTGTGGTGAAGGAAAAAATATAAATAGAATGTACCGTTTTTCTAATAAATGTACAGTATAGTATTTTACAGTCAACACAGGTCAACCTTTGTCTTTTGATATTTGTGTGGTTCATCAGTGAAGCGGGAAGTACAACGGACAAATAGACGTATTCGCGTACCACTCGAGTTCATTGCAGTTATAACAATTAGCAGCTCAGATATAACATAGAGAACATACAGTTTTTAACATGCTTTAAAGTGAATATTTCAATAGTCCAATAGCAGGTTCATGACAATTTAATTTGTTCCAATCTAGACTTTCGACTAACAGTGAGACATGGTGTGGCATTAAACAACGCTGTATGCAGAAAGTCTGCTTGAAGTAGCCAACTGACAAACTCTTACAGTTGGTTACCTAGAAATCAAACACTCAACTTGCTAATATTGTAACGACAGAAGACAAGGGCCAGGCAGCAGATCGCTCATTGAGAAAATCAAGAGATATTTATAGATTTTTATGTACATTATTATTAGAGTTATCGTTAGCAGAGAAATAGTGTCTTTTGATTGGTTGTTTCCTTGCTAAAGGTTATTCTGTACTGCTTTTGACCATTTCTCAAAAAGTCAGGCCATGTATCTGCGAATCGTATTTGCATATGTTAAGTCTGCTGTGATTGGCTAGTGAGTTCCTCATGGTAAAGCTTTGTTATTGCTTTTTTCTCATGACCGCTGTTCGGGACGTGAACATTGACATAAATTGTTGTCTACAATTTTGGCTAGCAGACAGCTCTCACCGCAATATCAATTGCGATTTGGATATGAAGTATCTGCAGCACGGTGTTGGTAGATGAAGACATTACGCTGTTGAAAAAGATACCAGTTAAAAATGCATATCCCACACACTTTATACATAAACATACAAGACTCAAACGCTAGAGAGAAAATCTCATGTCTGTGCTGAAGATGTTATATATATATATATATATAAATGTAGCATTTGAAGGTGACCTTTTAGTTCATTTTGTGAAAGGCAGAACATCAAACGTCCTGAAAAGAACATTCTTGGCATCTACATTAAGGTTAGTATTTCTTCTGTTGCCCAATATTCTCCAATAACTCGAAAGATAAACTATCGCATTCATTCACATCTGTGTGTATCTACTGATTCCCTTGGTCCTGTACAGCGAGATACATAGGTCGTTCACTAGGTGTTAAAATTTGTCTGGAGACATAATCTTGTGTGCCCCCGGAAAGCTGCCAAACCGCTAAAACACTGGGAAAATTCATTTATAGAAATATACAGAGACTGAAAAACCTTCTTGGAAATGATGGGTTTCCGTATAGTTTGCATTTCTGAGGCCTTAGCTATCCACACAGTAAACCCCAATTTATGCACATAGAATAATTTTCATGTTGTTTCCACTTCTTCTTAAGGTTGGAAAAAAGGGGCCGGAACCCCGGCCAAGGTTGGTTCCAAAATTAATTATATTATTTAGTGCGATTTAGGAAGAACGAGGTTTACTAGTATCATTTTCTTAACTAACATTTTATTCACTCTCTTCATCGCTTACATAATATGTATTTTGATATAAGTATAAAAAATGGGCACTGTGGTAGAGTATAACTCCATGATTGACCCCTTGAAGATAATAACTCAACACTACATTGCTCTGCATGCATTAACACACAACCACACAATAGGGTAGGTTGGACAGAGTTCGAAATTCTAAAGAGTGATATAGGTGGGTAGGGAGAGACAGAGGTTCATTACTGAATCCAGTCTTGTTCATCGAGTCTACACACCCAACACAACACATGCAATAGAAGTGACTCAACGCAAATACCAGAGATATGGAAGATATTATGACCACCAGTCCAATCAGAGGATAATAAATAATGTTAAAATGTATTCACACTATAACATTCTAACAAGCAGGTTATTTATTTATTTTACTATAAAATCATCTTATTTCCAATCTGATTGTATTTGACTGCTAAAACTAATATGATCATTTCCGGATGTACTTTAACTTATATTGATTTTATTCAATCAAATGTCTAATCGCATCAATGTTTACTCATGTATATAAATGAAGCAAGAGAGATCTGTGAGTGAATGCCCTGATATGATTATGAGTGGCAATAATAATTTGTGCTGGAAACGTGGTCATCACTCTGTGGTATATTGTGATACTTGCCTGTATTGCTTCATTCGTTAATTCCCGAT